TTTATTTCCTGACTGCTTCTTTTGCATCCAAAACCTTTAGTCAACTTTTGTTGTGCCCAAATCTGTCTCCTCTATGCATATTTTTAATGTATAGTTTATTGTACTTTGTATTTGGTTATTCTGTACTGTATGAGTAGTGTTGCTACCATGTGTATTGCCCTTCCGTGGTTTTCTTGATTTTAAGGGAGTTGCTTGAGGTTAAAGCTCATTGTGCTAATTAAATCATGGAATGGGCAGGGTTTGAAGCCATGCAGGTGAGTCTTAAAACTCACAGGTCAGTGTTTAATGCAGTGGCCTGGGAGTTTCGGGACTCACTTGCAGTGGGCTCAGACTCCACCCATTCCATGATTTGTTTGCAGTCGTGTTTATTTTGATTTTTTGAGTCATGTTACTATTATGACCATTTTGTGTATTGCTTTCTATAATATTTAGATTGTACTACCATGTACTACCATTTAACCTGTAATTATTTTTTTCAATTCACTGGCCATCTCCCATTGAGGCAGGGTGACTTAATGAAGAAAATTTTTCTTTTTCTTTTCAACGAACTGTCTGTATCCCACTGAGGCTGGGCGACCTAAAAAGATAAATGAAAGATTTTCTTTTAAAATTTAGTAATTTATACAGGAGAAAGGGTTACTAGCTTCTTGCTCCCAGTATTTTAATCGCCTCTTACATGGCTTAGAGGAAGAATTCTTTTCCACTTTCCCATGGAGAATAACTCTTAGAATGATTCTTTCTTTCAACACACCAGCTGTATCCCACCGAGGCGGGGTGGCCCAAAAGAAAAAGTGAAAGTTTCTCCTTTTACATTTAGTAATATATACAGAAGAGGTTACTAGCCCCTTGCTCCCGGCATTTTAGTCGCCTCTTACAGCATGCATGGCTTACGGAGGAAGAATTCTGTTCCACTTCCCCATGGAGGTAAGAGGAAGTAAACAAGAATGAGAACTAGAAAGAAAATAGAAGAAAACCCAGAGGGGTGTGTATATATATATGCTTGTACATGTATGTGAAGTGTGACCTAAGTGTAAGTAGAAGTAGCAAGATGTACCTGAAATCTTGCATGTTTCTTCTTCTTCTTTCAACACACTGGCCGTATCCCACCGAGGCGGGGTGGCCCAAAAGGAAAAATCGAAAGTTTCTCCTTTTACATTTAATGATATATACAGGAGAAGAGGTTACTAGCCCCTTGCTCCCAGCATTTTAGTCGCCTCTTACAGCATGCATGGCTTACGGAGGAAGAATTCTGTTCCACTTCCCCATGGAGGTAAGAGGAAGTAAACAAGAATGAGAACTAGAAAGAAAATAGAAGAAAACCCAGAGGGGTGTGTATATATATATGCTTGTACATGTATGTGAAGTGTGACCTAAGTGTAAGTAGAAGTAGCAAGATGTACCTGAAATCTTGCATGTTTCTTCTTCTTCTTTCAACACACCGGCCGTATCCCACCGAGGCGGGGTGGCCCAAAAGGAAAAACGAAAGTTTCTCCTTTTACATTTAGTAATATATACAGGAGAAGAGGTTACTAGCCCCTTGCTCCCGGCATTTTAGTCGCCTCTTACAACACGCATGTTTATGAGACAGAAAAAAGACACCAGCAATCCTACCATTGTGTTAAAACAATTACAGGTTTCCATTTTACACTCACTTGGCAGGACGGTAGTACCTCCCTGGGCGGTTGCTGTCTACCAACCTACTACCTAGAATTAGAATGATTTTATTTTAATATTTGTACTCTCTGGGTGCAGCATACCCAGGTATAATGGATGAAGACTCTAGAAGTATCCCTCTCTGGGTTTAATTGAATTAAAAATGCAATCTTTCTTTTTTTTATTTCTTATGAGCGATACAAAGAAGTTACAGCAGTTATACATTCCAGTTAATTGTAATTAAGATTTTGATCTTATTATAATGCAGATACAATTTGATACAATTGAAAGCTGAGAAGAAAGTCCAAATTGCTCTGCATACTGGTGTCTTTCTCTTGTGCTTAGCAATATTTATCACATGTAAGCTACATTAAATTTTTTAACACTAAAACAAATAAAATTTTGAAATATGCATACTACTTAAATCTAGTTGACAACTGTGTATATGTATATTAGGCTTCCTAAATCTAGTTTACAACTGTGTATATGTATATTAGGCTTCCTAAATCTAGTTGACAACTGTGTATATGTATATTAGGCTTCCTAAATCTAGTTTACAACTGTGTATATGTATATTTGGACAAATTAATGTCTTGGTCTGAAAAATGGCAGATGAAGTTCAATGTAGATAAGTGTAAGGTACTTGCCCTTGGTAATGAAAATAACCCTCGAAGCTATAATCTAGGTGAAGTAGAGCTTGATCATACAGAATGTGAAAAAGACTTGGTAGTCATGGTAAGCAGAAATCTAAAGCCAAGACAGCAGTGCCTTAGTGTGTGCAACAAGGCCAACGGATTACTTGGATTTATCTCAAGAAGTATAAGTAACAGAAGTACAAAAGTTATTTTACAGCTCTATACATCACTAGTGAGGCCTCATTTAGATTATGCTGCTCAGTTTTGGTCCCCTTACTACAGGATGGACATAGACTCATTAGAGAACATACAGAGAAGAATGACTAAAATGATTTACTGTGTAAGGAACCTCCCGTATGAAGATAGACTCAAAGCCTTAAATCTCCACTCTCTGGAGAGGCGTAGAATGAGGGGAGATATCATTGAAGTGTATAAGTGGATGACAGGCATAAACAAGGGAGATATTAATGAAGTACTGAGGGTGTCGAACCAGGTAAGAACCAGGAATAATGGATTTAAGTTGGATAAATTTAGATTTAGAAAGGACATAGGTAAGTACTGGTTTTCTAACAGAGTTGTAGATGCGTGGAACAGTCTTCCCAGTGGGGTGATAGAGGCTAGGACCTTGGGTAGCTTTAAGAAGAGACTGGACAAATATATGAGTGGGAGGGGCTGGGTTTGATTGGTGTCATTGGGTGCGGGAGTTGTTTCTTGGGAAGTTTTGGGTAGTAGTCGTTTTGATAAGGACCTGCCTCGCATGGGCCAGTAGGCCTTCTGCAGTTTTCCTCCATTCTTATGTTCTTATGTTAAATCTAGTTTACAACTGTGTATATGTATATTAGGCTTCCTAAATCTAGTTTACAACTGTGTATATGTATATTAGGCTTCCTAAATCTAGTTTACAACTGTGTATATGTATATTAGGCTTCCTAAATCTAGTTTACAACTGTGTATATGTATATTAGGCTTCCTAAATCTAGTTTACAACTGTGTATATGTATATTAGGCTTCCTAAATCTAGTTTACAACTGTGTATATGTATATTAGGCTTCCTAAATCTAGTTTACAACTGTGTATATGTATATTAGGCTTCCTAAATCTAGTTTACAACTGTGTATATGTATATTAGGCTTCCTAAATCTAGTTTACAACTGTGTATATGTATATTAGGCTTCCTAAATCTAGTTTACAACTGTGTATATGTATATTAGGCTTCCTAAATCTAGTTTACAACTGTGTATATGTATATTAGGCTTCCTAAATCTAGTTTACAACTGTGTATATGTATATTAGGCTTCCTAAATCTAGTTTACAACTGTGTATATGTATATTAGGCTTCCTAAATCTAGTTTACAGCTGTGTATATGTATATTAGGCTTAACCCCTTCAGGGTCCAAGGCCCAAGTCTGAAGTGGTGCCCCAGTGTCCAAGAATTTAAAAAAAAAAATTTGTTATTTTTTCTTATGAAATGGTAGAGAATCTTTTTGTGAAGGTGATAAAACAAAAAGTACGAAATTTGATGGAAAATTGACGAAATTATGCTCTCGCGAATTTTGATGTGTCAGCGATATTTACGAATCGGCGATTTTGCCGACTTTGACTCCCATTTTAGGCCAATTACATTATTCCAGTCAACCAAATTCTTAGCTATTTCACTAGTATTACTTCTATTCTATCTATTGAGCACAAGAAATCGCCAAGTCAACTGTTTCAACTACAAATTAAAGTGATCGGAAATTGTTAATTTGGCCAATTTAACACAAAGTTCAAAATATTCCAATTTCAAAATAGGGTCCAGAATAAACAATGTAGGTATTCCTCGAACTAAACTAACATTTCCTCTGTTCATTAGTTACGTTTTGAGGCTTTACAAATAAATACCATTTTGATTTTTTATTCACATAATGAATTTTTATTCACACCAAAAAATAGAAGATTTACTGTTATGCAATACTGTAATAATTGTATAAATATCATCACCATATTTGTGAATGCATATTAGACCTACCAGCTGGCGTGTATTAGACGTGTGAGGTCATTTGTTTACTCTTGAATATCGGCAAAAATTTAACATTTCTGCTACTTTGAGCTCAGTTTCAAGCCATTTCCAGTGCTAAAACCAATCAAAATCATCTCTATTTCTGTAATATGTCTTCCATTCTATCAAATGAGACCAAGAAATCGCAAATAGAACTATAAAAAACATACGAAAAAACACTGCAAAGTCGCTGTTTTAATCGAAAAATCATGATTTCAGTTTTTTTCTCTCATTATACACAGCGTGCTGCAGGATCTGTTTTATGGGGTGCACACATACCACATAGATGTATTCTCTCATATCTAGGCCCAAATGTACCACTCACAGTTTATCAGAGTGAGCTGAGCTCATGACGTAGATCTACGGTTTGGACACTGAACGTAAAGCCATAGATCTACGGGACGGACCCTCAGAGGGTTAAATAACAAAAAGGCACAACACCGTGACTGGAACGATACACAAATAACCCGCACATAAAAGAGAGAAGCTTACGACGACGTTTCGGTCCGACTTGGACCATTGACAAAGTCACATAGTCAGAGAGTCACAGTGTGAGTTTGTCAATGGTCCAAGTCGGACCGAAACGTCGTCGTAAGCTTCTCTCTTTTATGTGCGGGTTATTTGTGTATATTAGGCTTCCTAAATCTAGTTTACAACTGTTTATATGTATACAGGTAGTGAGTTTGGCAGTGTACATGTTCTTCCTGTCAACCATCATGGGGCGACAGTTCTTGGACCCGGCACAGAACTATCCCAAGAACAACATTGACTTCTACTTCCCAGTGTTCACCATACTGCAGTTCTTCTTCTACATGGGCTGGCTCAAGGTTGCCGAGAGTCTGGTCAACCCTTTTGGTGAGGACGACGACGACTTTGAGGTCAACTGGCTCATTGATAGGAATATTCAGGTAGGACATGTAGTTATGTCTTTGTAATGACCAGTTTCTAATTACAGGAGGTAGCTGTATGCTTGTGGTGCTTTTTTCAATGCAAAGGTTGTCTCCCACCAAGGCAGGTGAACTGGAAAAGAAGAAACAAAAGTTTTATTTAAATGCACCAGCCATCTCCCACTGAGGCAGGGTGAACTAAAACAAAAGTTTTTTTAAATGCACCAGCCATCTCCCACTGAGGCAGGGTAAACTAAAACAGATTTTTTTTTTAATTAACCCTTAAATGGTCCAAACATATATATAAGTTTTTTCAACATCTGAAAGTATGTAAAAAAATGTAGATCTTCTTTTTTGTTTTACATTTGAAAACGTAAAAAAAACTTTTATCTGCATTTTTTTTTGTTACATATGAAAATATGTAAAAAAAGTAGATCTACTTTTGTAGCACTACGAATGTGAACGTCGATTTGTTTGGACCGTTTAAGGGTTTAAATGCACCAGCCATCTCCCACTGAGGCAGGGTAAACTAAAATGAAAGTTTTTCTTTTTACTGTAGTAATTTTTACATGTAGTAATTTTTACTTGTAGTAATTTCTACATGTAGTAATTTTTACATGTAATAATTTGTGGTGTTCCATCTCTTATAATTTTGTCATAAATAATTTTAAAGCTTTGAATAGTTTTAGTGCTCACACTTACTGGTATATGTGTATCTGGAGTCATATTCTGTCTAATAATAATAATAATATCTTTATTTACTACAAGTACATGTACAAGGTATACAGTCCTAGCTGACAACAATGACATACTACTATATAGAAACTCCCTTGTTATGCTCCGCATGTCGGGCAAATTAGGTCAGTGTCCCGGGATGCGACCCACACCAGTCGACTAACACCCAGGTACCCATTTTACTGATGGGGAACATAGACAACAGGTGGAAAGAAACACGTCCAATGTTTCTACTCTGGCTGGGAATCGAACCCAGGCCCTCACCGTGTGAAGCCAGAGCGTTAACCACCAGACCACCATACTACTCTGTAGTTTTAGTGCTCACACTTACTGGTATATGTGTATCTGGAGTCATATTCTGTCTACAGTATACTACTATATTACTCTGTCATAATATATTTTTGATGGTAATTTCTGCATTTTTCATTATTAGAAATTCTGTATTTTTATGTCTGCATCTGTATTGTTTTGTCAGAATCTGTCTGTATGTGTCTTTGCCTGTAGCTGTTTGTATTCACGTATGTCTATGTCTGTATGTCTTTTCCTTTCAGTATCTATCTATCTCTCTCTCTCTCTCTCTCTCTCTCTCTCTCTCTCTCTCTCCTCTCTCTCTCCTCTCTCTCTCTCTCTCTCTCTCTCTCTCTCTCATCACTCACTCACTCACTCACTCACTCACTCACTCACTCTCACTCACTCACTCACTCTCTCTCTCTCTCTCTCTCTCTCTCTCTCTCTCTCTCACTCTCTCACTCTCTCTCTCTCTCTCTCACTCTCTCTCTCACTCTCTCTCTCTCACTCTCTCTCTCTCTCTCTCTCTCACTCTCTCTCTCACTCTCTCTCACTCTCACTCTCTCTCACTCTCACTCTCTCACTCTCTCTCTCTCACTCTCTCTCACTCTCACTCTCACTCACTCTCACTCTCTCTCACTCTCTCTCACTCTCTCTCACTCTCTCTCTCCCCCTTTGTGCTGGTACAGTATTGCACCAAAAAATGTTCTCTATTTGTTTTCTCATATTCTTATGTGAATATTTATAAAGCTATACGAATACAGCCTTTCTTCATTTATTGATGGAGTTCCATCCGTAAGACCACGTCAGTAAACGAATTCGTTGCTAATCGAGGAATCACCCCTTGTTGATACTTCAAAAATGTCACCCCCCCCCCCCCCCGAAATTAAAATACTATTCAGTTTTATGTTTGCTGTGAAAATCCTTTCAGTCCATTTATTATTAATGGAAATATGTACAACATGAAATAGGTCAATAACTTACTTCCGAGATATTCCAGGAAACACGTGTGTAGCTGATTATGTACTTGGGAAATTTTGTTTTTAGAGAAAATCGCACTTTTTTCAGTCTTTGCATAGGATAATAGTGATTATAGTTACCCCTTCAGGTGTGTAGCACATAACGTTTTCTGTAATGGTTGTGGTCACTTTTTTTTTTTCCTTCCCCTGCTGCCCACCCTTCAATACCTCTCCATATAATGTCAGTTTTTATTAATTTGAGTGTCTTTATAATGCTTCTACATTATTTATGTTATACCTATTATTATTCTGGAATAAATGTGATAGGTAGATAACCTTTATTGATAGTAATAGTATAATTATACAATATTTTATAGTCCCGGGTCATATCTCCACTTCCATGGTGAGCCATAATTATGAGCCCCGTCAGCCTTTCCCTCTCACTAGCTTTGCCCCCTTCCAAATACCTCTCCATTTTATTCATTTTTTTTTAATTTGGGATCTTTTCTATTTTCATTATTTATTAACCCCAGCAACTTTCCTCCAACAACGATGTGACCTTTTGTCATTAAAACCTTGAAACCGGGCATTGCTTCATCTTCTTTGTGTACGTAGGACCTTTCGGGCATTATCTTCCAAAAAAGTCCAGCTTCATCCACATTAAAGATTTTTTTGGGAGGGTTACCCGCCTTTCTCGATTTTTATCAGCTTTTAAAAACAATCTTTCGCTGCTTCTGATCTGTGCTTGCCCCCCTCACCACTGACACTCTTATTATGCAAGTTGAATCTCCGACGAAACCATTGGAATGATCCATGGCTTGCCATAAATGTTTGTTGATTCCTCACCTTCATGTGCCTTCAAAGTCTCAAAGATACTGCTCCTTGGTTGAATTTTTTAAAAGGCCATTGTCATTTTTTTTTTTGTATCGTTTGTCAAACCAGAGCCAGAAATTTTCTCCATTTTCATGAATGGGGTTTTTCCGCTGCCTTGTTATTATGGCTTGAAATCCTATCGATGCTTTCACTGCCTCTTTCACTCTATCTTTATACTTCAAGATAGTGGAAATAGTAACTGCGCCAACTTTAAGTCATTGGTATCACTTGCACTTTTTTACCAGCTTTGTATTGTTAAATTTCCCATTTTCCCCTGAAATGAGACCCTTCTTTTTTCTTGCACTTCTTTGATGTATTTTTACGATTTTCGTACTGACATTTCTCATATCTGCCCCATCATATCCCCTGTACCAGTGCAAGAGAGGGAAAACGGGAGACACGTCAAATCAACAATACAAAACCCCAAGGTTAAGGACGGTTATCCCTCAGGCCGTCGTGGGAATAATGAATAGTTTTAAACAGCTGCCTTATTCAGTTGCCCAGTGACGTGAGAGAATCATAGAAGAAAACACCAATATATCTATAATCTCAAGGAAAGTCGGGTTTGTAGGTGGGGTTACTTCCCTCAGTGTTTTAAAAAGGCTTAGTAAACAGACCAGGTCAGGAGTCACAACACGACACAACCCCGACAAAGGGTTTTGAGGGGTTTTTGGGAAGGAAAAAAACCATTGATTAAACCTTTTGATTCCCAAAAAAATGGAAAAGGGGATTAGAAGTTAATAGGTAAACCGGACTGTGAATGAGGGGGGAAGGGGAGTTGTAAAAAGGGGCAACGAAAGGGGTGTGTGAATTTTAAGGGAAAAGGGGGCAGGAAGGGGGTTTTTAAGAAAAAAATTTATTTTGAAAATTCAGGGGTGATTGTAAAGCAATTATAGGGTGTATTAATACTGAAAAAGAAAATAAATATTATTGTTGTGGTAAAAGAGGAGAGTGAAAATGGCAGGCATTGGGGGGGTAAGGCTGCCATAATTATATTTTATTTCTTCTTCAATTCATGAAGAAAGAAATCAGTCATGGGGGGGGACAGTAAAACCCCAACAGTTGCCTCCTACCGAAAATAAATGTCACTATCGCCGCAAGGTATGGCAACCCCGCATCCCCAAAACAAAAACAATGGCACCAGTTTATTGTAGCGCTCTTAAGGGTGATTCCAAATTAATCCAGGACCTCAAACTATTGTGCAGAGGCAAAAAGAAAAAATGACGGTTAGTGCTAGGATGAAAACCTAACCCATTGAAATGCACCCCAAGGGTCAATGTGAACATACAGCCTTATTATCTCAACACTCCCAAACAGGTGCTAACTGACAAAGTTTCATGAAAAATAGAAAAGGCACCTTTTTAAAAATGTTAAGGGGGGGGGGTGCATGAGGATTTAGTACAATTATAGAAAGGTCCCAGAATTCATTTTGTGTGTAACAAATCATTTGGCACAGTTCCCCTTTAGCAATTTGCCCCTGTTTTACCAAATTTTTAAAATACATATGATCCTTTGCCTTTTATGTTTTTAATTTTTTTATGAAAAACAGGCCTTCACTTTATTATGTCAAGCAAATCACTTTTTCCTAAATTGGCAAGATTAGGATTCCAGCAACAAAATTAGGGCCATTAAAACCCCCCTTAAAACCTGGGGATGTAGGGTACTAACAAAAGGTCAAAATAGAGGTTAAAATAAAAAACGCTTAGATGGGAAAACAAAAAGGGGGTTGGGGAGTATGTGCCTACATTAAAATGACTTGCTTACAACCAAGCCCGTTTAAATAACAAAAAAACTGGAGATTCTATGGTTGAAGTGCTGCTTCCCAAGACCAAACCCATTTTAGTGGAACAAGTATGTCTCCTACCAGGACCATTTTGAAGTTTTTCCCAGAGTTTTGTCCGGATTGGAAACAATTGCAGACAATAATAGGGGTGACTTAAATTCTGTTTCAGCAGCAAAAAAACGGGTATGCAAAAGGTAAAAAAATTTAGGTTTAAATATTAACTCAACTAATTAATCCCCAACCGGATCCCAGTTCTCGCCACATAATTGGGCCCAAAATCTTTGTAACCGCGCTGAGAACATAAGCAGTCAGGGTCTTACCAAGGGTTTATGATCATTTATCCATTTACTCACTGGGGGAAAATCACTGGGGATGGGAAGGCC